CATGATAAAATTGTTTGAAATTTAATTTAAAAATACTGAGAATAACTGCCTAAAATTGTGAATATCCTAAAATAAACCTTGAAATAAATAAAATAATAAGTGTGAAAAGTGCTCACACACAATGAGAAAAACAGCAAGAATCCATTAACAATGGACATGAATAAACCATCCAGATCAAAATATGAGCAAGCGTATGTTAAAAGGTTCTTTCATACATTACCCTTATAGGTTGGTATATTAGTTTGACCCTTCTGGAAAGAAATCTGAAAACATATCAAATCATAAAAATGTTCACTCCCTTTGGTCTTACTCATTCAACAGAAAATCGAGTACTCATTTTGTACCAGTCACTCTGCTAAGTACAATGGATTCAGTGGCAAATAAGAAAGACGGTCTCAGCCTTCGTTTATACAAAAATATCATCTCTTTGGGAAAGCAGTAATATACATGAAGATGACTGTTCATCCACTCTCTTGTTTTTCTACTTTTAGCTCCTTAATCTCTCTTACTGATTTCTCTTCATTTTCCTAACCTATTAACATGGGAAAGCCCTGAGATTCAGTCCTTGGCCCTCTTTTCTTCTCTCTCACTTGATTGTCTCATTCAGTCTTATATCATCTATATGATGATAGTTCCCCAATTTTTTCCTCTACCCAGAATCTCTCTCTTGACCTTTAGACTCAGATATTCAGTGACCTATTCGACATCTATATGATGATAATTCCCAATTTTTTTCTCTACCCAGAATCTCTCTCTTGACCTTTAGATTCAGATATTCAGTAACCTATTCGACATCTCTATTTAATCTTAATGAAATTGTATGCTTTTATTTAGCTACTAGAGGCCCATTGCACGAAATTCGTACACTGGGGGGATTGTCCCTCAGCCCTGCCTGCGCCCTCTTGGAATCCGGGACCCCGACTGCTGGTTTAGGCCCCCGAGGGGTCCCAGATTGCTAGCGGGATATAGCAGTGTACCAAGTAGCAGGTGGCCAGGGAGAAGCCAGAACCAGGGCCAGGTGCTGTGCCGCTCATGCTCATCCCGGCCCACTGCGCCTGCTGCCACTGCTCAGTAGTGCTGCTGTGGAGTTGAGAGAGGCTTCCGCCACCACAGCCACGCTTTCCAGCCATGAGCCTGGCTTCTGGCTGAGCGGCGCTCCCCCTGTGGGAGCGCACTGACCACCAGGAGGCATCTCCTGCATTAAGCATCTGCTCCCTGGTGGTCAGTGTGCATCATAACGACTGGTCAACTGGTTGTTTCAGTTGTTCTGTCACAACAGTTGCTTAGGCTTTTATATATAGAGATAGTACCTACTATGTGCCAGGTAGTACTATTGTGCTAAGTGCTAGGGATACAAAAATAAATACACACTGCCCTCAGAAAGCTTACAGTTTAATGGAGAGGTTAGATAAACCAATAGTCAGCTACCATACAGTCTGACAGATGCCATAGCAGAGGTTATCACAAATTGAAATTAAATTTATGTAATGAATGTACTGTGAATTGTGGTTAAACTAATCTTTTTAACCCACAGAGTCTTTCTTCAGTTCGTGTGGTAGTTTACATAAACTAAGTGAAGAGCCACTGATTCCTCCTCCCCTTCCTCCTCGAAAAAAATTTGATCATGATGCTTCAAATTCCAAGGTACTCAACAGGACTTAGGTTTGCCTCATCTCATTCAAAGTTGTAAATCTTTAAAACAGTGCTTGTTCTTCTAAAGAGTCTGTCAGTTAAAATTTGGGTACCCTTTATGGTTTTTAAACATCTGGGTTGTTTTATTTGAAAAATACTTTAAATAATTACTCATAATACTTTTTCTAAAAAAGAGACTGGGCAGATTCACAAATACTCAGAAGTACATTTTTGCTCCTGTACTAGTAGAGGTGGACATAACTTTAATATTCAAAGCATTCTTTAAACTTTAGGGTGCATCAGAATCTCCTGGAAGGCTTGTTAAAAACCAGATTGCCAGAGTTTCTGTTTCTGTAGGTCTGGGGTGGGGCTCAATAATTTGCATTTCTAAAAAGTTCCCCACTGTTGTTGTTACTGCTGGTCCCTGGATCATACGTTTCAAACCATAACTCTAAGCCTCACTGGGAAAAGTAGAGTAGGTGGCCAGAAAGCAGCAGCTGGATATTAAGTCCTCTTAACATCTTGTTCTTTCATGTCTGCAAAACTATATATACTTTTCATTCACTTGTCTATTATTATAAAAATGCATAAGTTTATGAGTTGTATATATAAAGCAAGATAACCTATGGCATTATGTTCTAAGATTTCAATTAAAACATCTCATATATAAAAATATTAAACTGGGGCCCTGAATTAAACTGGGAGTAATTTAGTCATAAATCTGAATCAAATTAACCTATTTTGAACTCCTGGATTTAACTTGACACATAGGAATTTTCTTTCATTCATTCATTCAGTTATTGTTAATCCTCACTAGAGGATATTTTTTCCATTGATTTTTTTAGGAAGATGGGAGGTAGGGAGGGGAGAGTGAGAAACATTGATGTGACAGAGACACATTGATTGATTGCCTCCCGAACCCGCCCTGATCAGGGCCAGGATCGAACCTGCAGCCCAAGTACGTGCCCTTGACCGGGAATCAAACCCTCGACCCTTTGGCCTGCTGGCTGATGCTCTAAAAACTGAGCACACCGACCAGGGCAATTCTTTTAATAACTTTTTCTTCCAGATTTTTCAGAACAGAAATATAATTTAATTACTTTTTTTAAAGGGAAATATGAAATCTGATGATGACCCCCCTGCTATTCCACCAAGACAACCTCCTCCTCCAAAGGTAAAACCCAGAGTTCCTGCTCCTACTGGTGCATTTGATGGGCCTCTGCATAGTCCACCTCCACCACCGCCGAGAGATCCTCTTCCTGATACTCCTCCACCAGTTCCCCTTCGGCCTCCAGAACACTTTATAAACTGTCCATTTAATCTTCAGCCACCTCCACTGGGACATCTTCACAGAGATCCAGACTGGTTCAGAGACGTTAGCACGTGTCCAAATTCACCAAACACTCCTCCTAGCACACCCTCTCCAAGGGTACCACGTCGATGCTACGTGCTCAGTTCTAGTCACAATAATCTTGCTCATCCTCAAGCTCCCCCTGTTCCACCAAGGCAGAATTCAAGCCCTCACCTACCAAAACTGCCACCAAAGACTTATAAACGGGAGCTTTCACACCCCCCATTGTATAGACTGCCTTTGCTAGAAAATGCAGAAACTCCTCAATGACCTTAGCCATATGTAGTCATTGACACTGGAATGATATTTGTAAAGGTGTTTTTTTTAATTTATTAAAAAAAGGCATAGTATTTTAGTACTTTTTACAAATAATGCTCTTAAAAATGCTACTGATCAAATAAGCTTTTAAAATCGGAAAAATAAAAATACAAAAGTCCTTCGTCATTATCCTCAGGTGATCAGTAGCATTGCCTTGTCTTGGATCCTCAGTGCTGCCAAAAGGCCAGTATAAAGAATTTATATTTGCACTGTAGTCTCTGTAAAATATGGTTTAAAGTGACTGATTGCACTGAAAAGGGATAGTGCATTTGTGGAACTTTTCAGATTTGAGTAATAGCTGCCTTTTTAAGGCAATAAATTTACACAAATATAGGAGGTGTATGGTGTTACTGATTTTTTAACTTGTTTGACCATCTTCTAGTTTTTACATTTTGGAGAATTGTGAATAACACCCATTGTTCTTAAACTTGTTAATGCCATGTCTTAAATGCCAGAATTTGCTGCTAAAGACAAAAATGAAAAATAGAATGAAAAGAATAGAATGCACTGTGTCTATTATTTAGCCAAAATGTAAACAAAAAGACTACCTAACCCCATCATAGAGGAGAAAAGGGCATGTATTTTTTCAGATGTGCCTTTTGTTTTTGCAAACTATGGTGTCTTTAGCTAATGAATTGCCTATTATTTTGGAAAACAAAGTTAATATGCCATGTATGTACAGTTTTGTTTATATTGTATATTTAAAGATGCAAATAACCTATATAAATTTAAGTGACTTGAGGTGTATAATACAATCTGCTACTTTACTAATTGATAAATTCAAAGTAAAAGTTTCTTATGGCATAGGAACCAACTGCCTTGCCTTCAAAACCTAGTAACTTTCTCTATAAATCTTGTGTTAACTAAAATTTTTTTAAATATTTTTTTTAGATTGGTAATATTTAAACCAGCAAATACTTAAAGCTTTATTAAACTTTTTAATCAGAGAAGTGAGTAAAACTTTTATTTGCTATTTGGACTCCTTCCTTAAAAGTGATGAAAAAGTGTGTTTTGCTGATAGTGGTGTAGCAGCAGTTGTAAGTAGCCAAAGCCACGTTGTTTATTTACTGGTCTGTGGCCTTTTATATGCTTTGTATCAGAGTGCTTAACAAGATTAATAAATCACCCCAGTCTTAATTTTTAAAAGACTTTTAAAATATGTGTTTTCAGTATAAGGAACAAGGGGGGAGATTGGTCAGTTTTGTAGAAATATTTATATGCACATTATTTTCAAAGGGTTATGGATAGCTTCAGTTACATAATCCCAAAGCATTTAAGTGATGTAAATTTTAGAGGGTAATTGTCTTTACTGCTAAACGTAATCAGCAAGCTTCTAGTAATTTTTAGGAATTCAGATGAAAAATTAGGAGCATGTTGGCAATTTTTAATAAGCAGGATTATAGCCATCCTTGGTGAGATGGATTTAAGGCCAATAACTACGGTGTGAGTTAATCTCCAATCAGGTAAAAACATTCTGAGGTTGACTTTGTTTTTTAAAGAGCAGATTATATTACTCTCTTTGCCTGGAAAAGTGATTTAAACTGCCTGTTCATTAAGCCAGACTTGTAATTTAGGGGAGAGAGGCCGTCCAGGAAGCAGGGGAAGCTGGCGGCCCAGCGCTGGGCCACGCCCAGGTAACGCTGCCTTCCGGGCTTTGTGCCTTTGCTGGTAAATCGAGGCTCCAACTCCGCCACTAGGAGGCGCGGGGCCCCTCGGGAGGCGGGGCCTCAGGGGGATGCGCGTGGGCGTGACGTCAGTTCGTGCGCCGCATTCTGTTGCCGGGCAGCCATGGAGGCTGCTCTGGAGTCCTCAACGGAGGACCCGTTGGGGAACTTTGTGCGAGTTTTGGAGAAGAGAGATGGCACGGCGTTACGCCTGCAGCAGTATGGCTCCGGCGGCGTGGGCTGCGTGGTCTGGGACGCTGCCATTGTTCTTTCTAAATACCTGGAGACGCCCGGGTTCGCCGGCGACGGGGCCCACGCGCTGCGCCGGCGGTCGGTGCTGGAGCTGGGCGCCGGCACCGGGGCCGTGGGGCTCATGGCCGCGACCCTCGGGTAAGCGCTGGCGGGAGGGGCGCCGCTTGACTTGGGAAACTGATTACTGGCTTCGCATCCGTGTGCCTACGTCTCAGTCGACGTTATTTTATAGGGCAGATGTTGTAGTCACCGATCTTGAGGAATTGCAAGACTTGCTGAAGATGAATATTAACATGAACAAGCATCTTGTCACTGGTTCTGTTCAAGCCAAGGTACTGAAATGGTTTGTATGGCCTTTCGGCTTGTTTTAATAACGATTTGTAGTTTGCTTTAAATTGCGTTTTGCTAAAAGCATGGCTAATAGAAAGGGGATCTTCCGGGTCTTGTTTTTCAAACAAGAATATTTTTAATTATTAAAGCAACAGTTAAAATATTTGGTTGGCATTTTTAAGGGGGGAAGAAATAGAAGACTTTCCTTCTCCGCCAGACTACATACTGATGGCCGACTGCATATACTACGAAGAGGTAAATATTCAATGTGAGAAGTCTGTTTAGAAGATGTACCATATTTCCTAAATTCTAGAGCACACATCTCTTCACATTTTAGGATATGGAATTCAGGATATTTGTCCTATAGTTAATGACACAGTAAAGGGAAATTAAGGTCACCAGGGAATACTGATTATCATATAGGCCTGATTATGATATGGACCTGTGAATCATGTTGAGAAAAGTGTTATGCACATTTTACTAGAGGCTTCTGTAAAGTTTTAAAAGGATTTTGCCATTTGGATCTAAGATTCTTTATTTATTTTTTATTTAGCTGTTCCTAGTGAACATGTTAAGCAAGACACAGAATTAAATTGCATTGTAAGGAATTCATTGTTCTGTGGCAAGATTTATTAGACTCATAGAATGATTTCTAAAAATTATCAATTTGTGTGCAAATTATAGACATCATTTTTTTTAAAATAATGAACATTTAGCCAACTTACGTTCAGGTTAGGTCAGACTTGCTTTTGTGGTAAATTGTTGATTATTTAAATCCCAAGTTAAATAATTAAATTTTTAAGAGAAGTCAGTTCCATTTGTTTTCCCATGGGATCTTGAAAATGCAATTACTTGAATCCTTCCTTTGGAAACTGAAGTCAATACAGTGGTTAAGAGGAGTTTACTGAAAAAAAGAGAGTTTACTAATCATTAGTTAGAGTCTTAACTACTTGTACTTTGTTGGATTGATTCAAAGATGGGTAAATTGTAGGGGAGAGATAATTACCCCTCCACCTTCCTTACCCCCCTTTCACAGTAAAAATATAAAAATTTTTATAAACAAAAACTTTATTCTTTTTTGAACAGTCTTTGGAGCCACTGTTGAAAACTCTAAAAGATCTCAGTGGATCTGAGACTTGTATTATATGTTGTTATGAACAGCGAACAATGGGGAAAAATCCAGAAATCGAGAAAAAATATTTTGAGGTGGGTCCTCTACTATATCTATCTTTGTAGTGATTACCCTTCAGGGAGCCTGTGTATGACTGTGTGTAAGTATATTATGGTAATTTTGAGTCAGGAAAACATTCTGGTTGTATGAACCCAAGGAGGATTCTTGACAGCCCATCATTCTACTAAGCCCCCTCCCCCTTTTTCATCTTTTGATCCTTTATTTCTTTTTATTTTCTAATAAGTTGATCTAATATATAAAGAACAATGTAAAATAATAGTAGTGATGCCCTTGTCTTTTCTGAGAAAGTTTGTAATGTTTCCCTTATTAAACATGCTGGCTTTTGGGGAACGTATTTACTATATATATATCATGGAAACGTATCTTTTTACTTCTGTGTTCACCTCTACATTTTTGTGAAAGCTTTAACCAAGATAATCTTATGTTTTCAGGGTTTGATTTTGTTTCGTTTTTTTTTTTTAACAAAAACTCACAACTCTGGCCAATTTGCTCAGTGGTTAGAGCATCGGCCTGTGAACTGAAGAGTTGCAGGTTCAATTCCAGTCAAGGGCGCATATCTCAGTTGCAGGCTCGGATGCCCAACCTGGTCAGGGCAGGTGCAGGAGGCAGCCAATCGATGTGTCTCACCCAAACATTTATTTATTTAATTATTTACTTCTTAATCCTCATCCATGGATATGTTCATTGAATTTAGAGGGTGTGGGAGGGAAACATCCATGAGAGAGAAACATTGGTTGGTTACCTCCCATACATGCCCTGACCGTGAATCAAACCCACAACTTAGGTATGTGCCCTGACCAGGAATCAAACCTTCAGCCTTTTTGGTGTATAGGACAACGCTCCAACCAATTGAGCCACTCAGCCGGGCCCAATCCCTTTTTATGGGCAAAAATCCATCACATTACAAGTGACTTCTCTTGGTTCATACCAGGGTGGACAAAAGTGGGTTTATAGTTGTTCATATGGAAAATAATACAATAATGAATAAATAATAATAGAAGAATAAACTCTGGCCCTGGCTGGTGTGGCTCAGGTGGTTAGGCGGTGTCCCGTGCACTGGAAGATTGCTGGTTCAATTCCCAGTCAGGACACAGACTGGGTTTCCGGTTCTATCCCTGGTAGGCAGTATATAGGAGGCATCTCCCTCCATCTCTCTCTGAAAATCAATTTTTTAAAAAATCTATAAAAAAAGAATAAACTTTTGCATAATCACAGTTGTAACCCTACTTTTGCCCACCCCTGTATATATAGCCCTGCAGTTTTATCCATTGAAAGGACTACTTTGATTAAATGAGAAAGCAAATATATGACTCTGCTTCAGATATATGTTGAAATGTTTTTATTTTTTTGTGGGTTTTTTTTAAGTTTTTGTTTTGTTTTTGTGGGGTTTTTTTGTTGTTGTTTTTTTATTTCAGAGAGAAAGGGAGAGGGAGAGATAGATAGAAACATCAATGTTGAGAGAGAATCATCCTGATGGGGAATTGAACCCTGACCTCCTGGTTCATAGGTCGACATTCAACCACTGAGCCACTGCCTGGCTGGGCTGTTTTTTTCTTAAATGTGAGGAATGTTAATGAACTCTTGAAACTTTATCATTGAAAGTTTTGTATTGTTAAACAGTTCCAGTTGAGTTAAAATATGTAAGATACATAAAATATGTAAAATGCTTTTGTAAATGGAATTACACCATGTGGCTTTCTGGGTCTGGCTTCTGTCACTGAGGATAGTGTTTTTAAGGTTCAGCTCAAGTGCTCAACTCAATTTTTCATGTGCATACACCCAAGTAACCACTGCCCAGGATAAGGACTTGGAACATTTTCACAGCCTCAAAAGGCTCCCATGTGCCCCTTCCCAGTCAGTACTCCACCATTCTGACTTCTCTCATCACAGGACAGTTCATATTATTGAATTTGAAGTATATCTCTTTTAAATTTATAGCTTCTTCAACTAGACTTTGACTTTGAAAAAATTCCCTTGGAAAAACATGATGAAGAATATCGAAGTGAAGATATTCATATTTTATACTTCAGAAAGAAAAAATCGGTAAATACATTCCTGGCTCTTTATCCTCTGAGGAGGTTTGTTTAGCTGGACGCTGTCTCTCAGCTTATAGGTGGTGTAGATGTTGATTTTGATGTGGGGAAATAATATGATGATTTACTGGACTCAGGCACTAACTCAATATTAAGATCACTTTACCTGGCCTCCTGTTCTTCCTCTAAAATAAGGCAGGCTTCTTCTTCCTGTCCAGCTGTAAATTATATAGCTTTAAAATCGGGCATTACCTCAGATAGGTAACTTAGCTATTTATAAGTTTCTGGTATCTTTTATTAGAGATTTTAAAATGCCAGCCAGCTCCGACCTTTGTAAACTTTATCCAACCATTCAGAATTTTTTAATAGTCAAAGTAAAACATAACAACCCTTCCCTGGTGGTTTAGTAGCTAGGATTTGGTACTGTCACCACTGCAGCTCAGGTTTAATTCCTGGTCAGGAAAGTTATATGTCGAATCACTATGTTGTACACCTGAAACTAATATAATACTTATGGCCCTAGCCGGCTTGGCTCTGGATAAAGCGTCGACCTGCGGACTGAAGGGTCCCAGGTTCGATTCCAGCCAAGGCCACATGCCGGGGTTGCGGGCTCAATCCCCATTGGGGGGTGTGTAGGAGGCAGCCGGTCGATGGTTCTCTCTCATCATTGATGTTTCTATCTCTCTTTCCTTCTCCCTTTCTCTGTGAAATCAATAAAGAAATATAATTTATATATATATGTATATATGTATATATGTAATTCTTATGTCATCTACACTTTAATAAAGAAAAAAAATTTTAAAGTAAAATATAACAAGACAGATCTGTCCGATAATGAGAAATGCACTGTTTTATGTATATTTTACTTCTTATAACAATTACATTTTATGCAGGTTGCCTCAGCAATGTCTAGAGTTTGAGACTGTAGAAAGGAAGAATTGTGTCCATTTTTATCTCAGCACCTTTTGTATGTGACTGGTTGGTATAAGGCAGGGACATGATTAATTTTATTGATTAAGGATGTTAAATTTAGTAACATTTTTTCTGTTATCTTTGCTTTGAATTTGTTCATGATGAAGTTTTCTGATTATGTAAATTCTAGTCAAAAGCAAATAACTTATAATTTTTGAGATCAATATTAGATGTTAGGACTATAAGGTAAGAGGATTGGTGGGATTAGTAATTCAAATCAACAAACTTACCTGGCATGATGCTGGAGATACAAAGGTAAAAAAAAATGGTTTATGCCTTAAGAAGAGTCCATTTTAGTTGAAGTTGTGGTGTAGTTTTAAAAGTAGAATTTTTTTTGAGGCATAATGATTTTGTTTTCGAAATATAAAGGCTTTATTTTGGCAAAGAATACTTTCCTTTTTAAAAATTGATATAATTCATGTACCATAAATATTACCCTTTTAAAGTGGTTTTTAGTATGTTCACTGAGTTGCACAGCCATCACCACTTTCTAATTTTTTTAAATATATTTTTATTAATTCAGAGAGGAAGGGCGAGGGAGAGAGAGAAACATCAATGATGAGAGCGAATCATTGATCAGCTGCCTCCTGCATGCTCCCTACTGGGGACCAAGCCCACACAGCCGGGGCATATGCCCTAACTGGGAATCGAACCCATGACCTCCTGATTCACAGGTCGACGCTCAAGCACTGAGCCATGCCAGCCGGACACCACTTTCTAATTTTAAACATTTTCATTACCCCAAAAAGAAACCCCGTATTCGTTAGTGATCACTTCCTGTTTCTGCCACCCCCAGCACCTAATTTGTGGTTACCAATCTACTCTCTGTCTCTGTGGATTTGCATATTCTGACCATTTCATATACAGTATCTCTTGCTTTCGGAAAGTTCACTTTATGCCATTTTGCTTTTACAAAAGACCTACATTCGTATGGTAATGGCTTCTATAAAAGCGAATATTCTCTTTGGATTTCTTTTGCTTAGTGAAAATGAGTACTAACGTAGTCTTTCGTAAAAATGAAGTGGCATAATACAAAAGCAGGGATACTTTTCATTTTATGCCATTTCAGCTCATGAAAGGTTTCATAGGAATGTGCAGGGGACACTAGTAAATGGAATCACACCCTATGTGGCTTCCTGGGTCTGACTTCTTTCCCTCAGGATGGTGTTTTTAAGGTTCAGCTATGTTGTAGCATACATCAGCACTTAGCGCCCTTTTTATAGTTGAATAATATTTCTTTGTATGGACATACAATACCTTATCCATCTGTTCACCAGTTAAAAGGCCTTTTAGTATCTTTCACTTTTTGGCTCCAATGAATAATGTTGCTATGAATGTGCATGTAAACATTTCTGTATGACATATGTTTTCAAATCTCTTGGGTATGTTCCTCAAATAGAATTGTCAGGTCTTATGGGAACTCTGTTTAACTTTTTGGAATTGCCAAACTATTCCAAAGCTATTAAAATGGTTTATGTTTCTACCGGCAATGGTATATGTCCCAGTTCTCCACATCCTCACCAATACTTGTCATTGTCCATCTTTTTTATTATAGCCATTTTAGTAGGTATGAAGAAATTATAGTTGTAAAAGTTTTTTATATATATATTCTAAATATTAGACTCTTACTGGATATATAACTTCCAGATACTTCCTCCCATTCTTTAAGTTGTCTTTTCATTTTTTGATAGTATGTCCTTAAGCACAAAGGTTTTTAATTTTGATGATGTTGAATATATCTTTTTTCTTTGGTTACTTGTGCTTTAGGTATCAGCAAAAAATCATCTCTAGCCGAAACCGGTTTGGCTCAGTGGATAGAGCGTCGGCCTGCGGACTGAAAGGTCCCAGGTTCGATTCCGGTCAAGGGCATGTACCTTGGTTGCAGGCACATCCCCAGTGGGAGGTGTGCAGGAGGCAGCTGATTGATGTTTCTCTCTCATCGATGTTTCTAACTCTCTATCTCTCTCCCTTCCTCTCTGTAAAAAATCAATAAAATATATTTTTAAAAAAAAATCATCTCTAAACATTATCCATAGTTGTTCATTTGAATAGCATTTAGCCATTATTAGGTATATTACCTAGTATTAAGTACCCAGTAAGTACTTCATTTGTAATAATTCATTCTGTAAAGTTTCTGTTTTGTTTTTTCTTATAGAAATTTCCATCGTGAAATCTTTAGTCATCTTACCCAAGCCTCCAGCAACCTGGGTAAGCTAAAGATGTGAATGGAGCATGGGAAGATTGTGTTCACAGATTTTTCCAGCATGTCTTTAGAGACCTGATAATAGACAACAACCATCATGGGCTGCCTGCAAAACAGAAAATGACTGCCAGTCTGCCAGCTAATGGGCCTGAAATCCAACTTAGTTTACTTTTAGTTCAGTATCAAGTTCTGCTTAAAAGAAACATTGTGTATTAGTCACTCCTCAAATAAAAGTTGGTATTGAGGTTAGCCTAAAGTCTGCCAAAAATAAACAGTGAAGCTTCATGGTTGACTTAGCTTATTTTCCAGAATTAGATAAATTGATCCAGTTTCTAAAGAGAAATATATACTGCTATATAATAAAGTTTAAATTCAAATCAGTAAGTTTTAGTTTGTCTTCAAGATAGGTAAATTTAAAAGGTTTTCATTTTAACATAATTATGCAGTGGTTTTTATCATGTATCTTCCACTTTGTTGCTTTTAAGATAGCTTTACTACTTACTAGTAAATGTTCTTTTACGTTAAAAAAAGCCCCAACATATTTTGTATAGTTACATTGGCCAAAGTTTTATTCTTTTCCTCCACCATACATGTCTACATGAGTTAGTAAATTATACTGTAGTGAGTAAGAATGAAAGTTAAGAAATCATGAGATTAGAATGAGGGGGGTTGGAGTGAAAGTAAAAAGCCCATTTTCAGGCTAGTTCACTTTTCTCATACTATATATCTTCCAGGAAAAAGTGGATAAAAATCACTGATGTTTACTTGTTTACAAAACAGAGACATTTTTAAATAACTGCAAATGTAATTCTATATACATTTAGCAAATGGTTTTGATTCTGTGTAGTCTTTATGTTATGATAATCATCTGCTCACAGACTGATCTGTCAAGAACTTAAATCTCAACTGTTCTAAAGAGTAATAAACTATAGAATTCTGGTACTTACAGGCATTGGTGCTAGGTGGCACATTTTATGTGTTAAAATAAATGTTCTTGCCCTTGCCAATTTGTTCAGTGGTTTGAGTGTCACTGAAGACTGAAGGGTTGTGGGTTCAATTCCCAGTCAAGGACACATACTTCTCCAGCCCCAAGAGACAACCAAGCAATGTGTCTCTCTCTCGTGTCGATGTTTTTCTCTCCTCCTCCTACCTCCTTTCCACTCTCTTTGAAATCAATGGAAAAAATATCCTCAGTTGAGGATTTAAAAAATAATAAAAATAAAATAAATAATTATTCTTTTTGAGATCCTGTGATTTTTTTTAAGGCTTCGGAAATTGCTTTGAAGAAAATAATCATCTAAAGCAGATAACTGCTTTCCAGAAAGACAAAAGCAGCCCCCTGTAGAGAAATTAAGGATTAATATCACCAGGACAGTTTTTCCTTCAGGCTTACTTTAGTCTTATTTGTCTTACTGTTCTTTTTCGAATACTTTGTTCATCCTGCCCTTAGCATTTTATTAAGCAGTTATGTTGCAGAGAGCACCAGTTATTAGTGAAGTCTGAGGACCAATGACCACTTTCTAGCTTGTCCATAACATTATGGAACTTGTGAAACTAAGTTGGATATTGACCAGCTGTAATAGGGCACCCGGATTCCTCAGATCCTTTGTCACCCTCCTCTCCTTTTCATTATACTCAGGATATACAGTCTACTTGTGGGTCTTTGGCCTAAAGTGCCCCTCGACATCTATTATATAAAAAGCCTGTGGTTGACACACCAAAACGCATGATCAGCAGGAGGCTGCATGCACGGGGTGGGCAGGGCTCCGTGCCGGCGAGGCACACGTGGGTGGGCTGGGACTTGACTCTGGAGGACTTGACTGGAGGCGCGGGTGGGTTTCTGGGTCTACCTCCCACCATGGTGGAGGCGGCCGCGGGAGGACAGGTGTATCTTACACTTCAGAACTTCCTGGAGGAGTCAGGCTGAAGTCGACCTCTATTCAACTTGGCCAGAATCACACTTGTGTGTTCTTCCTCCCCTTCCCATCCTATTCCCAGTCCTTTACTTGACTTAACATCTTAAGTCGTTTGCATACGTTCATCACTGATTCTGGGGACTGACCTAAGTGTCTAACTGTAGAATTAGAGTAATTTGTAACAGAAAGTCAAGTGGGATTTTTCCCTATTCTGGAATAAGGCCAAAGTGGAAGTTAAAAGTTACCAGGTCCCCACATTCTAAGATCAGAGAACTACCCGTGGTTAGGACCAGTGAGCACTTGCAGGGCTTACTGAGAGGTGCCAGTTCATATAACATGCCCTCACTAACCACCATCCCCCACATGGCCAGGGAGCCTGGCGTTCTTTTGGAGAAGTGCATTGTAGAGGAATGGGATTTAGTCCTTTGGGCTCTGTCCTGAGGGAGGAAATGGTGCATCTGCACCTAGAAACCATGGGAGGAAGGCCTGAGAATAATTCAAGATTTGGGATGCCTCCAAGAAGGGCAAACCAGCATTTTTTCCACCTGGTTGAATGTGTTTACCCAGCAGATCTGCACATTTGTTGTTTTATCCAGAGCCCAGGAATGGAATTGGAGAGGTAATGGGACTGTCAGGCAGAGTTATCAGAGATGGATCCTGCCAGCCTGAGAGTGATACGTGAATTGGGGGCTAGAGAACTTGTGCAGCAATTAGAGGAGGTTAAAAGGCAGGTGCACCAGGTGAGTGAGATGTGATGCCAGTTGGCTGAATATAGCCAACTCTCAAATCTCAAAGGACAGCCAGTGCTGGGTGGAGCTGCTCAGGAGTGAGCCTCTGGCCGTTCACACTAGTGGGGGTTGCACTGTGCACCATGAAATCCCTGGGGCACTTACCAGAACACGGTTATAGCCAATTAGGGAGCCTCCATAATAAGGCAGCTTCTCAAACTAATCTACACATGGGATCACCTCAAAAATTAAAAGCCATGTCCAGGCCCCATCTGAGTCCAATTATATCAGAGGCATGGTGTTTTTGTTAAAGGGCTCCAGATGGTTTTAGTGTATAGGCTACATTGAGGGCTACTGCTATAAGGAAACCTAGCATCTGCTTCCCAAAAAGAAGAGAGCCAAGGGAGGAGAAATACAAAAACAAACTATTCGTGATTAGAGTGGACCTATGCTGCATAGAGAGGAAAAGAGCTTTGAATCTGATGTGGAGTCTCCTATGAAATAGATTTTTAAATAAACAGGGCTGAGCTTTAGAAACTGACTAGCTCAAAATTTAGAGAATCTGGCCAAGAAAGTAAAGGTGATACTAAAGTGGAAAGGGGAATTCAATAGCTGGAAAAAGAAAATCATTAACAGGTATAGTCACCAATGATTTGGGTCTCCTTTCTATACCAGTTACAACTAAGGATCTTTGAGACTGCATAGCTTTGAGTCTTAACCTGCTATAGTTCATAACCAAAGAAGGGTCCACAGATCATATGTTTGGTGAATTTGGGAGTGCTTAGGTTGTTGTTAATTATTTCAGGAAGTAATAATCCAGAATGATTGGTAATGGGATTTTTTACACAGTATATCTTTCAAATTTTTCTTACCCTTTTCCTTGAAAATTTCCTTGATATATGATGCCAAATACAATATTAAACTCAGATTACAGATGTTTCATTTGAGAAACAAGGGTCATAAAAACATGACTGTTGTTTTTCTAAAGGTTCCCTGTAGGTGGCAATGCTTGACTTTGTCTTTAAATAGTTTATAGAAAGGAAGTTGTTAAAATAGAATATTTTCAAATGGAATCACACTTGCATTTAAAAGATGAATCAAATTGGATTTTAAAGAATAATCCTACCTATCTATTATGAGTTCCTTTCACACTATAACATGATTATCTTAGTCTGTTTGGGCTGCTATAACAAATTACCATAAATTGGATGGCTTGGGGAGGGCGGGGGTAAGGGGAAGAGATCAATCGAAGGACTTGTATACATGTATATAAGCCAAACCAATGGACTTGGACATCAGGGGATTGGGGCTGAGTTGTGCGGGCGGGC